AATGATCATTGCGGAAACGCTCGCGCGGTAATCGTTCCACTGTCACATTTGGTTCGCCCTACTATTCCCTAACAGTCGGTGTTCGTTCGATTCACGCCGAGTTCCTGCTAACCGAACAATAGATCCAATAGAGCTCATTGATTCTTCTTCCTAAGCGAACAGACCAGATGTCTCGTTTGTTCCCTTATGGGTGGTTTCATTAGATTTCCACATGTGACTCGGTACTCTAGCCTGTTGATTTGGTACATGCTTCAACTTTTGACGTCGGTTCTAACACACTATCCCTCACACTTTATCCTCATGCACAATTCTCGGATCACTCACCCACGCATACACTCAGGAAACACTAGATGTAAGTTCAACTCTCTTTGGAGCGCATTATTAATTGATGGAACCGTTGAGGATTTGAATTCCAGACCCCTAAATTTGGAAGGTGTGTGTGTGTGTGTCTGTCTGTCCGTCTCTCTTTTACAACGGCGTCAATCAGCTCACACCGAGGCCGATCGGAATTACAGAACTATATTTTCATCAGATATCGTCTTGGGTGATAATCCGTCAGTCCCCGACAGTTTCGAAGTGAGACATAGTGTCATCTAACAGTGAGATACAGTGAAGCGAACTTCACTGATCGTTGCCAAGCTCACAGTGTACACAAATTAAGCGATAAAGCACAAGATAGAGAGGGATTAGGCCCGATTGGAGGGAGGCAAAGAAAGTGAACCTCTGTGATCAACATAGAGTACACATTCTAAGTGTGCATACATACATTTTCAAGCATTCTGACTTGATAAGAAATGACAACAAGAACGCCACTGGTGTCGGTTAGTCGCTACATCCTTTATTGTCTCCAGCCAACCAGTTGCAATGTTTCGGACCCCAACCTGGAAGACGGGAGACACCGATTCTACCTAATCGCTCTGTGTATTTCTTCATGCCTCGCTTCCACGTCATCTGTTGACCACCACGCGGTTTCTTTCAACCTGCAGCCGCAACTGCGAATAAGGCGCGGTGCAGCAGACGATGGCTGGACATGCGCAATACGTGTCCTAACCAGCGAAGCCGACTAATCTGAAATCAATGGGACAACGAATTCTCCATCGATTCATTACGAAATATGCGACACCTTACCTCGGAGTTGCTTACACGCTCACTGAATCCAACCCGCGCCACACTATGTAAACATCGGCAGTTGAAGACTTCTAGGCGACTAATAACTTCCACGCGCAAATTTAGGGTCTTGCAAACATAGAGCAGAACTGACCACATACTGGGGTAGTAAAAACAACCTTTTAGTTTTAACCATGCATCTCAGTTTCAACGAAACACTACTGATATGTCATTTGTTAATCAGAAATATTAGAAAAATTGGAATGTTTACGATCGCTAACCGGTCCTGGGGAATTTTTGTCCACTCTCTAAGGTCGTACTCATGCTATAGACCATTTACTAGGTAATTTGTTTTTTCTCCCAGGATCTCGAGTTGACAGTTGAGCGTACCGTTGCTCGACTCATGCCGACATCTATCGTTTATTATGTCCTCAACTGATTAACCATGTTGATTCCGGTGGTGCTCTCGTCTGCCTCTTGCAGGTCGTTTCCGTTCATTGATAATCTGACGACATAGGAGCTGAATTCGCTCCGCGGTCTGTTTTCTTTAAAGTTTTGATTCTGATTTTCTTTCAGTGCCCCGGTGACGAGCTTCCCTCCTACTGGCATACACTTTGTGCTATGCACTACGGGATTGCTATTTTTTTTTAAAATTTGCGAAACTGTTTCATCCAGACATATGCATATCCTTCGAGGTTCATCTAGTCACAAAAGGTTACATTTTCGTGCTGCTCACGGAAACCACACTATCTGCAATTGTTTTCCCCCATTTGGTTCCCAATCACTTGAGATTTGGAAAGTAAAATACAGCGGACAATTCCCACCCCGAGCCGGTGCGTTTGTTTGTTGTGGCAACTGCGTGTGTGTGCCGGTCGGTCGGTTGACTGAAGCGAATTAATCTCGCCTAGAAATCCCTTTTTGTTGTTTCACTACGAAACCAATTCCAATCGGTTGCACGCATGCGATTCCAGGTTTCATTTGTTACCTAATCTGAAGTAGTGGTGGTGGTGGTGATGATCAGTGTGTAGTGCTACCAGAGATTGTATTTCGTCCTATCCGGATGGGATTATTTGGATTCACCTGTTGCTGTAATTTATTTGCCGTCTTGCGGTCTTGATCAAATGAAAGTTGTAATGATGAACTGAATAGCATTTTTATCGTAGTAGCGCACGTGGGGCAAAAAAACCCATTCAGGTAAATCAATGCTCCTTAATGGCCATTTGGTTAAACCCCGGGATCGTGTGATTGAATGAAATAGATGTGGGACTTTAGACGCGGTCACTTGAAAGCGTTATCACTATAGTGATTACTGAAGATCTCGCATGTAGCTCACGTGAGCATAGTCACCCGGCACCCCCTCCCAAATTTTGTTTAGTCCTATTGAATGTGTTTTCCTCTTCGGCTGTTGCGAAACTACAATAAAAACCAAAAGTTGCATTATAATTAGAATAATTCTATTGATTCAATCCAAAACATTACCCCCCCCCCTAGCATTGTGCATTTACTGTATCCACCCTGATGCGCGCATATACAAATTGAAATGCTATCTGCTACTACCATCATCGTCATCAACAGGGTTCTGTTCTATT